TTTTGTTAGGCCCGAGCTCAAGCCCGGCCCAACCAACGGGCCTATAACATGGTATAATTACTTACTATTATTGATAAATATTGTTAATAACGTTCTGACAACCGATGGTTCGACCGTCCAATTCGAACGGATGGCCCGTTCTAACAACAAAAATTACAAGCAAAAAATTATGGAACCATTATGGCCATCGATTTTTGGATCGATGATTCGATCGTCCGAATTGAACGAATAACCCATTCTGACAACGACGAAAATTATAGGCAAAAAATTGTGTGTGTGAGATCCATTAAGCAGTACCATACGTGTTATGTCATTCGAGCGTATGACTCATACGACCCGAAAATGGAACCGTTCTGGCCATTGGTTTTCGGGTTGACAATTCGACCGTCTGGTTTGAATGGATGGCCCGTTTTGACAACAAAATTAAAAATAAAAAATAAAAAAACGGCCCAAAACCATTGAATGGGTCAATGGGTTAACGGTTTGACAACTTGGGTCAATGGGTCGTTGACTAATTCAACGGTTTTTGTCCAGGGACCGGGATTGGGGTAAAACGGAACTGGTTGCCTGGACAGTACCCAATTTGAAAAAAAAAACAGACGACCCGTTCTGACAAAAAATTGAGTGTCTGAAGTCCATTAAGCAGTACCATATGTGTTATGTCATTTGAGTGTGTGACTCATACGACCTGAAGACGAAACTGTTATGGCCATTAGTTTTCGGGTTGACGGTTCGACTGTTCGGTTCGAAAGGATGGCCTATTCTGACAACAAAAAAAAATGACCAAAAACCATTGGACGGGTCAATGGTTCGACCGTTGGGTCAATGGGTTATTGATCGATTCAATGATTTTTGGCTAGGGGCTGAGATTATGATAAAGCAGAACTGGTTGCTTGGATGGTTCCCAATGTAAAAGAATAAAAAAGGCCAAAAACCATTGAACGGGTCAATGGTTCGACCACTTGAGTCAACGGATCGTTGACCGATTCAATAGTTTTTGGCCAAAGACCGGGTGAACGGATCAACGGGTTGACGGTTCCTTTCCAACTCCTACGAAGCAGGGTCCCTCCGCTACTATCTATTTATTTAAATAACACCTTAAAGCTTAAATTTTGATAATATAACCTTAATGGAAATGATAATGAAATACTAAATAGTTTTTTTTTTGTAAAAAATATTAAATTAGTTAAATGCTAATACTTAAATATTTTAATTAATATTATCTATATATTATATTTGAAATTCACCACTTCAAATATAAAACATTATAGAAATTATAAAAAATTAAGAAAACCTTATCTTATATATATATATATATATATATATATATAAATGGGTGCTCTCTGCATCTAGGAAATGGAATTTACTCGTGCGAGCACCCATTTCCTATAGATAATAATAATCTTAATTACTGATTATTACATTAATTTAATAAATATAATTAATAATTACTGATATATATTTTTAATAACTAGATATTTACATAAATTTTACTTTAAATTAAAATTATAAATATTGTTATTAAAAAATACTGTTAACAAATTTAGTAACCCAGTTTTAATAATTACTGATTATTATAATAATTTAATAAATATATAATTAGTGATTATAATTAATAATTACTATTATTATAAATATTGTTAATAAAAAGATATTTACTTTACTTTTACTTTAAATTAAAATTATAAATACTATTAATAAATTTAGTAATTATTGTTATATTAAAAATAATTAAAAATGTTATTAAAAGTATTGTTATTGATTATTTAATAAAATATTATAATTACCGACTATTACTGATAAATACTGTTAATTTAATTTAATTTTGGTAATTATTAATTTAATGAATATTGTTAATAAGTCATATTCAAAAATTTAATAAAACTGTTATATTAAAGATAACTAAATAATATTATTAAAACTACCATTAATGATTATTTAATTAAATAGTATAATTACTGTTGTTAATAACATTTTGACAACCGATAGATCCATCGTCCGGTTCAAACGGATGTCCCATTTTGACAACAAAAATTACAAGCAAAAAATTACGAAACCATTATGGCCACCAATTTTCGGGTCAACGATTCGATCATCCGGTTCGAACGAATAGTCCGTTCTGACAACAAAAATTATAGGCAAAAAATTGAGTTTGTGAGGTCCATTAAGTAGTATCATATGTGTTATGTCATTCGAGCGTGTGACTCATACGACCCAGAAACGGAACCATTATGGCCATCGGTTTTTGGATCGACGGTTTAACCGTTTGGTTCGAATGGACAGTTCGATCGTTCGGTTCGAACAAACGACCCATTATGATAATAAAAATTGCAGGCAAAATATTGAGTATGTGAGGTCCATTGAGCAATATCATACATGTTATGTCATTCGAGTGTGTGACTCATACGACCCGAAAATGGAACCGTTTTGGCCCCGATTTTTGGGTCGATGATTCAACCATTCGGTTCGAACGGATGACCCATTCAAACAAACAAAATAAAAAAAATAAAAAAAAAACAACCAAAAACCATTGAACGGGTCAACGGGTTGACAATTCAACCACTTAAGTCAATGGGTCGTTGACCGATTCAACGGTTTTTGGCCAGGGATCGGGATTGAGGTAAAGTGGAACTGGCTGCCTGGATGGTTCCCAATTAAAAAAAAAAATAACGGGTGACCCATTCTAACAACAAAAATTACAGGCAAAAAATTGAGTGTGTGAGGTCCATTGAGCAGTACCATATGTGTCATGTCATTCGAGCGTGTGACTCATACAACCTGAAAAACGGAATTGTTATGGCCATTGGTTTTTAGGTCAACGGTTCGACTTTTCAGTTAAAATAGATGGCCCGTTTTGACAATAAAAATTTTTATGTATATATTAGTATAAAATACAAAAACCTCCCCTAGGTTTTCTGACTATCATAAAAACCTCCCCTATATTTTTTAGAAAATATACAACTACCTCCCTTCCTAGACAAAAAATCCAACTTAATGTTTTTGTTTTTTTTTTAAATAACTATTTTGCCCTTATATCTATTTATTTAAATGTAGATATATTAAAATATCCTCCAAAACACTGTTCATTTTCAAAATGTCTATTTGCCCTTAATTAAAATATCCACGACACATCACTCCTGGAGTAGCGGAAGCAAGGGAATCATCCCAGATTGCAACCTCTCCATGGATTGGCCAGTGGGGGCCTCACCACCAAACTGCAACCTCTCAGTAGGATGGCTACTAGCTAGTCGACCTCACATCTACCTTGCTCTGTCTCCACTCCATCGATTGAACAGAGTGAGAAGCAGGACCGTCCTCACTCGCAGGTCGCAACAGAAGAAAAAGGCGGGAAAAGATCACTACAAGGAAGGCCATTGCCCGTTGGAGTTAAATACATATTCCAATCTAATGGCATGAGAGTTTGTAGTTCCTCCCCTCACTAAAAAGGAAGGCGGCTTCTTACTTTACAAAAAAGGAGCCATGCGCTCAAACCTTCACAAAAAAGGAGAGTGTGTGGCTCCTCCCAATCTAATTGCTCAGACCTCTCACGAAAAAGGTTGGAGTCAAAAGAAAAACAGTAAAAAAATTGGAACTAATACCTGCCTAAAAAAGGTTTAAGCAAGGAAGGAACTGGGAGCAGGGATGTCTGAAACCAGAAACAATGGAAAGAGAAGTAGAAGGATGAAGAATCGGAAGGTGGATTTCAGAAGCGTGCAGGAGGAAATCATCTTCCTAATCTTTGTGTAGTAAAGAAAATGACTTAGAAATTGAGTTCTAAATGGTTAAATCAATCTATTGCTTAACCAATCCTTCAAGCTTTGGCTGGAAAAAGCTCTTCATCTTCTTCAACGTTGAAGGATATCCAACGATGAGTTTCTTGTGAAACCCAGGACCAATGGAGTACGTATGTGGAACCCAGAATTGGAGATCTCTTCTTCTCTTAACGCTTTTCCTTAGTCCTCACTTGGTGCTTGTTCGAACCTCTGTTCCACCATTTGCACATCAGGGAAAGAAGATGACAGGAAAAAAAATATTTTTTTCTACAAGTTTTAGTCACATTTTAAGATGACGTGATGAATTGTTATTGGAGGTTGCATGCAGGTGGATTGAAGGGTCCATATAATGCATCAGAGAGAGAGAGAGAGAGGCTCTAGTTCTTAGTTCTCGAGAAGAAAATGAATAGTATTTTGGGGAGTATTTAAATAGATAGACATAAGGGTAAAATAGGCATTTAAAAAAACAAACACATTAGATTGGCTTTTTTGTGTAGGAATGGAGGTAGTTGCAAATTTTTTAAGAAGTACAGGGGAGATTTTTGTTAAAATGAAAACACAAGGGAGGTTTTTATGATTGCCAGAAAACTCATGGGAGGTTTTTGTATTTTACCCTATATAATAAGATTTGTGCACATTCTCCAAGCTAATTTGGTTAGCATGGTGAGTTACCCAATTAGCCCATCTCATTGACATCCCAATTAGGGGTGCAAGTTTTAACAAATTCTTCACCCAACCCGACCTAAGTTGAACCCATTATCCCAACCTAATAATTTATAATTTCCTGTGTAGTAGCTTTAAATAATTAAATGGGATCGTATTCAATTATGGCCCCGTTCGCTTTTTGGTAAGTTATTTACCCAGGTAAATGCACTTACCCAGTTAAGTGTTTCTAGGAAAGATTTATCCGAGTAGGTGCATTTACCCATGTTCTTTTATTTCCCATGCAAATAAGACAATGACCATTTTAGCCATAAAAATCTATTATTATAAGGGGCATTTTTGTCCCATTCAAGTGTTGGCAGCTTCCCCAAAGGTGAAAAATTTATTTACCCACTTAGGAAATGAGTATCACTTACCTTGTTCCCACATAAATCTAAAAAAAGATCATGAGATTCTTGATCAATGGAAATCAAAATCCCATTTACCAACTTTCCCCTCTCAAAATCCCAGTGTACAGGCTTCAATTCATATTGACTATGTGCCCATAAATAATAACAAGAAATGTGATCTGCACTCAGCACTATCATGATCCTTGTTTCTACATAACAAGAGTGTAGGAATCTATCTTATTGATTAAATTACAAAGGAGAAAATAAAAAGCAGAAAAGATCAACTAAGATAAACATAATTAGCAATAAGTAAGTGACAGTAACTCATCTTTCACCAAGTCTGCATCAAGACATGGATTTCCTCCACTTGGGAGTGATTCTTCCTTGCACCAGCTTCGTCTTCATATCCATAGGCGTTCGACGTTCAAACCCCACTTCGCCTTCACCCTCAACCTCCTCATCCTTCTCCCCAACGCTTCCAGGTTTGAATAGAGGCATTCCTAACTTCCTCCACTTAAAGAAGCTCTTCTTCTTCTCCATGAGCCTATCTATCTGTGCTTGCATGGAGTTGCACTGCCTCTGAAGCCTAAGAACGTCCTCGCGCAACCTCTTTATCTCTATCTGCTGAGCAGTCATGTCGCGCTTTGACATGCAGCGCGCTGGAGGCTCAACTGCAGGGTTTGGGCTTCTGGGTCCACTAAACGAGCTGCTCCAATCAAGATGCCGGTTGATCTTTGTGTGTTCAGAGAAGAGCACTTGGATTACAGCCCGCACAGGCAAGCGGTCGTTCTGCGCAGCATGGAGTGATGCATCTGGAGACAGTTTTCGGCTGTCAATCAATCTACAGAGGCTCTTCCTTTCTTGCTTGGACAAGCTTGGGTGTGCCTGCAAAGGTTTCAATTCTGTCGTAAACTTGTATCTATATATGGTGCTATCAAGCCTACTCTGAATAATCATGGCTTCCTAGAGGATCTGATGGTAGTTTAGTTACAGAACAATAATCGCTACTCCCAGTTCCCCTAAAAAGTTTCTTTGTTTTCTTGAGCTGGGAACAAATTCTGTAGCTAATTATGGGTAAATTTGTTTGGGATACTGAAATGGGCTACAAACAGGGGAAGGGGAGAAAAGGAAGAACTCTTCATTACTAAAAACAAGAAAGGAAAAGGATAAACCGCATTTGTTGGTTAGTTTCTTCTGAAAGAAAATTTACCAAAACAAATGTAAGAAGATCTGATCCAAGGGAAGATTGATTCAGTCACCCAGGCACCCACCAGCTTGTAACTTGTGCAGCATGGTTGGTTGGACCCACTGAACTGAAAATAAAGTTCTGACTTCTGACCATTAAGCCCGATTATTTTTTGCAGTAACAGTTGGGTTGGGACTTTGGTATCACTTAATTAGCTCTCGCATCGCATTAGGTTCTAAGTTGTAACAGTTGGGTCACTTACTCGCAGATAAGTATCGACGGCTCGATACAACCCATCATCCATTGCACGGGCATGGCTGGGGAGAGCTCCGGCAAGAGCAGTGAACTCAGGCAATGTCAAATTGGCATCCACGGCAGCTTCTGCAAGGTAGCTATCAACAAGCTTGGCCACCTTGACCAGAGCGGCTCCACTCTTGGCTGCTTCATCCAAATTGACGAACAACCTGACCAACCGGAGAACGAGCTCAACATCTAGCAAGGTGCCACAGGTGTGACTGAAGGCCGGAATCATGAGCTCCTTGAGTGAGGCCTGGTCAAGCTGGCACGATATCCTCTTCTCGAGCTCGGCACGGTAGGCAGGCTCAATTCCAACCATGTTACCAATGCGGAGGAGTCGCAGCAGGAAATTGCATGGAACAGAGTCTTTCTCAGGCGGGAGAATTCCAGCCAAAGTCTCAACGAAGAACCTCTTCTTCATCCATGAAGCAGTGACGCTCTCCGGTGATTCCTCAAAGTGAGTGAGACCCTTGCTGTTGGCGTCGTCGCCTGACAAGTCTGGGAGCCACTTGGAGGCATAGTGGGCTATGATTGAACCGATGAGATCAGGACGTACCCCTTTGGCCTTAATGCCAGAAAGGGTTTTGACAAAGTAATCCATGTCAAGGATACAGGCATCGTCGAACCAATATTCTACTCCGAACTCTGTTGCTGGCTTACCCTTCATGTCATCAGAATCCGGCAACTTCATGTTCTTCATTCCGGTGTAGCAGTAGAACTTGTTGGTTAATTTACAGATAGCGATCGAGGACTAGACAACACTAGGGTAGAAAAAGGTGAGGCTCCAGACACCCTATCTCTGCTGGAGGGTCATCAGCCAGAATTAATGACTGAAATACCCCACATATTCTACTACATCTACAGGCCACATGGTATGCTGTTTTCACACAAATGAAATGGCTAATTTGGAATTGTATATATAGTTTTTCTTTACCGTTGCAACTTGGAAGAATGGGATGAAAAGTTGAGAACAAAAACAATGGATAGAGTACTAGAGAGAGAGAGTAGTTTTTATTTTTACAGTGCTTTCTGTTCATGTCCTTGTCATCCTTGGGTATTGTTGCAATGTAATTTTGTTCTCTAGAGAGTAGAGACCTCTCTCTCTCTCCTCTGTGTGTGTGTTTCTGACTTTTTCCCTAGTACCCAAATTGTTTCGGAATCCCTATTGTGTCACACGTGATTGAATGTGTATAATAAAGAGGTGAATGCTGGTAATGTTCAGAGATTAAGATAAAAAATATCAGAGAGTCTCACTACTCAGAACTGGTTCAATAGCTGCACATGTTTAATTGGTTGCAGCAGCCATCAAATCACAAAATAGTTGATAATTTTACCAATCTGACCATTAACATTAACTTGATGGAAGATGATCATCTCAGAGCCATAAACCCAAGTGTTGCTCATGGTCATGGATATCAGACGGTTTGCTCAACAAAACAACGAAGACTTGTAAGCTATTCACTGTGAAGACTGAAGATCAACTGAACTTTCCATGTCCAAAATGGGCAAAAGGGCCGGCGGTACACACCGCAAACAAAACGTACTTTTCTATGAAACTCCAACCACCTCCACGTGAACATGGATTTGTCTCAGTAGTCAGTACTGCTAGCTTGTGCTTAGGGGCAGGATCTCCAAAATGGACCATTAATTAATAGGTGGGTTGCATTGCAATTTGCAAGACCACTTTGTATGGGCCATGCATGGGGTCTATATCTGGTCTGGCCCCATCTTTTAAGCTGTTTCCAACTGCAGACCATCTCAGCAGGGTTCAGCCTCAGCCCACTGGCCTGGCCCTATGTTGGGCATGAATGAAGCTAAGAGCCTAAGATGGCCCATTACAGCCAGGGCCAAGACAGAACCAGTCCATGGGCTAGACCTAGAACCTTCTACCTGTCAAAGTGGGTCCTCACTCCTCATCTATGAGTCCAGTCCAGTTGGGTCCCCACACAATGTCCAAAAGTCTCTGCTAGCTAGAAGGAATAAGACGCAGCGGTAAGCTTCGACTTTCGAGTATGGGCAAAGAATAAAAATTAAGAACTGATGCGTAGAGAAAAGGACATGCACAGAGTATGACAAGCTTTTGAGAACGATCAAAAAGTTTTGCATGCCAAAATATGGAAACAAGGAGGGTAAAACAGTACCACTCCCCTTTCCCTTTGTCAATTACCATTTGTAATTTTGCAGGTTTTTTTTTTTTTTTTAATATTCAGAAATTTACCAAAGGTTTAAAGTATCGATACCTATCACATTGTATTTTATATATTGTATCATATCCGTATGGCAAGTCGTCAAAAATTCTAAATACCGAAAGTTAGGGGATATTGACGGCTTCAACCCTTAATATCCATCTTACCGGACCTGGATTACATTTGAACCCACATGGTGATTATCTCATAAATGGAATGGAAAATCACAAGTCATGTAGAGAACCCCATATACTTGGAATAAGGCTTAGATGTAAGGATGGCAATTTTCCTGTAATGGGGCCCCGCCTATTCCCAAATTGGGCAGGTTTTTTTTCAATCTTAAACGGGAATGGGGCAGTTCGAATTCACCTTAAACTCAGTGGTAAATTATTAAAATATATTTAAGTTTAATATTAATTTCTAAAATATCTTTAAATTTTATCAAATTTCTTAAAACCTTTAAGGTCCAATAATTTAATGTTTAAAATACCTCTAAATTTTCATAATCCATTGTTTAAAATATCCTTAAATTTTCATTATATAGTTTCCAAAACACCCCAAATATGATTCATTTTTAGGTGTTGACTCGGGGTGGGGAAAATTCAGGGATTCCCTATCCCCAATAAAGAGGAGATGCCTTGCCCCGCCACTCGGGACAGGGCAAGGGATTTTGGATATGGGGCGGGGACGGGGAAGGGGTGCCCCACCCCAAACACGCCCCATTGCCATTCCTACTTAGATGATGATGAAAGGATAATAAGAAAACTGTAGATTTTATGGATTTGATTTGTGGTAATGGTGGTGGTGGTGTGGTGTGATGTGATGATGTAGTTTATGAGATGTGACAAACCATTATGTGTTAAAAATAAAACTTTTGACCCTTTCATTCAGAAAAAAAAAGAAAAGAAAAAAGAAAATCCCCTTCTTGAATGAAGAATGGACACAAGCATTGTATTGAGCATTTGAAAGGTTTTTTATTGGGTTCTATATGGAAAGACATCGGGAAAACTTTATGCCTTGTTTGTTTGGCGGATTCTAGTAGGGGGGAAGTCGGTAATCCCATTGACCAATTCTCCCACATTCTTTTTGAGGATTTAGGTGGGATCCAAGCTAAATATGTTTTCCTCAAGTATCGCTTACTTGGGTTGGTGTTACCTTTCTCCTACCACCAAAAATACCCATTAAAACAATATAATCCAAAAAAATATAAATTTGAGTTCAAGGATAAAAATGACAAAAGATTGAACATTAACCACTTACCACGAAAAATGGGCGAGGTAAAAGAATATGGAAAAATTGAGAGGCCTAATTTACCTAAGTAAGTTTAAAAAATAAAAGAACATTGATAAATGACCTCTTGGTGAACTAACAAGACCTTACAATCAATCAACCTACATCATAAAATATATTGATGACCAATCATGTGGTATTCATTAAAATTCTTGGGGTGCTTTGATTGGTCAAACTCTTTGAGTATTTGGATATCATAGATTTTCCCTTTTTTATTGTTTATTACCTGATTATGTGTCCATGTGTCCATCAATCGAATACTTGAAAAGACATTTATGTCCTTCATTCAATGAGCAAAACCATAATAACAATGGTACGTGCATGGTGTTTTCAACTAATTTAACTAACGGAGAAGTACGGATAGGCCCAATGCAGATTTCTGATTTCCACTACAGAGCTATAAACATTTAAAATGTCAAAACCCCCCACTCTACACACCAATGCCCTCCCGTGAATTGACATCAATTCTAAGTTGGCACCCACCCCAACTGTAAAAATCCTGACCCTGGGCTGAACCGTCATTCTCCCTTTAATCAATGCCATGCCATGTAATAGGGATAGAGAGGTAGGTAAGGTGTGGAGAGAGGAAAATAAATAGATTGGATTTTATTATTTGTTGATTTGGACGTGAAGTCATCATATTTACATCAGTAAAGATGCATAGGATGTGAGTGATTTTAGCACGTAAAATTAAGGTTCAAAATATTGATACTCAAAAAATTGTGTATCATGAGTTTTTAACAATCTGTACTCTTTTTTCCTTTTTTTTTTCTTTTTTAGTTTTTTCAGTTTGATAGTTTACATATAGGTATGTGAGAATGGCTATTGACATTTTAAATTATTAAAATCTGCAACCTTGACACTGATACGATAAGCACAATATATAATGCGAGAAATATGATACTTAGAACATTACATAAAATTCTTAGTGAAAAGATAAAAAAAAAAAAACCTGTTAAAAATTATAGGGTGAGATATTCTTGGTCTTTCAGAGAATGTGGTTAATTGGGTTGTCCTAATCAGGACCCAACCTTGAGTGATATTTTGGAAGGACATGATTAAATGGGCCATACTGTGTGTGTTTCTAGTTTTTTGGGTGTGATTAGGTCATATTATGATAGGCATTAAGGCAGTACTTTTCTCTAACTAAAGAAAAAAGCACTACTCTTTTATATATAGCTTCTTCATCATGTGGACCTCTGTCAAGAAAAAGAGGCCCTCATCTGTTGTTTTCATAGAGAAGGGCCAGAAGGCCCATTAATACAAGTTTGTCCCTATTTACAACTCCCCAGTTGGATTCAGTGCATTATTGATTCAAATCTAATATTCTTTTTTTTTTTGTTTTGTTTTTTCGGTCATCCAAACTTTTCTATATAAAAGAGGTTTTTTGTTCACTCGAAAAGAGAAAGAGAACAACATAAACCAAAAACACTTGTCACACAATAATAGGTTAGTATTAAGTATAGAAAATCTGGATTCCTCTCCAATACACCCATGTATTATAAATGGGTACATTGGCTGTGAAATAGACAGAAAATGTTTTTTTTTTTTTTTCTTTTGTCTTGAAGCAAACTACTTTTGGTCTATTTGTTAAGAGCGTGCTCCAATTGAGATATGAGAGAGATGCTTCAAACACCCACCATCCAGAAAAAAAAATGAAATGACATCCACACAAGCAACAAAATTACTGGTGCACATAAAAATCTTATTAGTGTATAATAAACCATGTATCAAAAACACTGCATAAGAAAGGATCCACCTGGGATGATACTATGTTGTATAAATCATAGAATTGCTTATACCATAGGTGTTTGATTTTTCCGTGGTTGTGTTCGTGTTTCATTGGTGTACAAACAAAATCAATTGAAAGGCATTTTCATTTTGTTGTTGGTTAATGGTTTCACAAAAATTCCTATTCTTTTTAACACTGAGATAGATAGTTCTTTTTGAACAAAATTACATAGTTCAAAAAGAAGGCTGAGGACGGATAAGTGATCCTATGTATCTCGAACCATATTCTTATATTATATAATATATATTAATAGATTATATATATAGATATATTTATATATATGTATGTATGTATATTTACATATATATACTATATATTAATAGATTATATATATAGATATATTTATATATATGTATGTATGTATATTTACATATATATACTATATATTATATATATAGTATAAATGAAACAGGCTTGAGTCAAAAGTTTGGAAGTTCGAGTTAGCTACGTTTGATTGCAGGTCTCTCAAGCAGTTGAGGTGCTGACTCGAGGTCTCCCTCAATTGCCGAAGTGTCAAATCGAGGTCTCCCTCAGCTGCTACAATGTCGAGCTGAGGTTTCCCTAGCAAGCGAGGTGTCAGGATAAGGTCTCTCTTAGTTGACAAGGTGCTGAGCTGTGGTCTCCCTTAGTTGTCAAGGTGCTGAGCCAAGATCTCCCTTAGTGATCGAGGTGCCGAGCCAAGGTCTCCTTTAGTGGTCGAGGTGTTGAGCTAAGATCT